TTTATCAAGGCACACTACAAAGTACATATTATTTAATGTCAGTAACTTCACTTTATAAGCTAAGACTTTCCATTGGAAATCAAAGTGTATCTGATGGTATTTCAGATACAAAAAGGTATTAAAATATTACAAGTATACAATATTTTGATTCTATACAGCATGTAAACATAGTAAAATATCCTGATCACAAGACAGTTAAATTTTTCCACTCTAATCTTTTCCTCAAGCTTTGTGTAGTTACCAAGGATAATTTTTAAATTCCTTTACAGCCTTACTATAAAAAAGCAAAACAAAACTGAAAAGTCCAAAGAAACAGAATTATCTATTTACTCTGACGACTCTGCACCGGTCAAAGATCAAGACTGGTACTAACCAAGAGCTTATCTTTCATGAAACCTCATGTAATTTCTGCTTGCAAGGTGAACAGGGATGTAGGAACAAATAGGTTGTAGGTCAGGAACCACAAATCAGTTCAAACAATCTAATATGAAGCAAAGTGCAACAGATTTGAAGCTGTTGCAATGGATGAAGGCACCGAGTTCTTCAAATTTAGAATTGCGTAGCTGCCTGCCTTTCTCTTTGAAATAACCAATTGTAGAAAAAAAAAAATCTGTATCATAACGAGATGCTTTTTCATGAAGTAAAAACAAATTATGCCTTCTCCCTCATACACTGTTCTAGAGGAGATCCTTGACTAAAAGTAGGAAGAAGTGGGGAAAAAACAAGGTAGATGACGAAGACTGCCACAAGCCAGCACCCTGATGCTGTAAGGCTGCATACCGCTCCAAGTGAGATAATGGGAGTCCACACATTCAAGAGCACAGAGCTGACTCCCTATGGTTGTGTCAATATCTGTTTTATGGAATTTAGGTCAGACAGGGGAGATGACAAAAACCAATGATTTTCTTATCCAGCATTGGACATTCTTCCCTTTTATTAAGCAGTATTCTTGATATGATTGGTGATATTCTTGATGATTGGTGTGAAAATTGCTAGTTTTCCTCACTACCTAATGAGAGGTGCATTCAGACTAAGCAAAAAATGCCTTGGTCTTAATGAAGTTACACATTAATTAGCTTTTGATGAATGCCTGCAACCCCTCTCCCCTCCCCAATAATCTCCTTCAAGTACCTCCAGGCTCTAATCACAATATTCTCAGTAATTAAGGTTTTGATTTTAAATTTGTCTAAAGCTGCCTAGAGAGATGTTCTGATTACCAGCTGATCCTCAGATACAAACGGTTTGAGGATTTCCCTTGCTTTTTGGGGAAAATCTGTCAGCAAGTTTCAAAATTTGATGCTACTTTGAGTAATTTGGCCATGTGACAAAGATTTCTAATTTATTACTTCTATTCATAGGCTCACACAGGAGAGTAACGTTTTCTACAGAGCAAATTGAGAAGGTTTATATTCCAGCATGTCAGTCTTTGCATTTTCTCTTGGATTCTGCAACCACTAACAAGGCAGGAAGAGAAAAGTAGATGGACAGTTTATTGTAGGAGATGGTATTTAGTACCACGTAGCTGTCACATTATAGATTGGTATAGTAATTAATTCCTTCCCACATCCAGTAAGATTTCTTTTATAACCAGCACTGGGCAATCAGGTTTGCAGATACAAAATATGCTTACACAATATACATACAAATTAATCTGTGTTTCTTATCTCCTCCAAATTTCAAAGCAATTCAGTCAAAAACTGGAAAAAACTTGAATACTCACTTTTCTAAATAACATTGACCCTAGATGAAAGGAAAGGGTTTTTTAAAACTAGTGTAGCCTAACATTCCATGAGAGAATACTATTACTTCTGTATTTTGCACTTTGAAGTGCATTAGCATTTTGAAATAGAACCTCCAAAGAGAGAATCCCCTTGAGAAAATAAAAGGTGGTTATCATTAAAAGACACTGACTACCAAGGAAGTTGGTCATCTTGCACTGCAAGACTAAGGAGTTAATCTGTAAGTATAATTGATCAGGAAAAGAGGCAAGAGCCAATAGCAAGAAGTGTACTTACGCCCCAAACTGATAAATGTCACTCCTTCTTACTTTAGTCTGTGATCATTACGTCTTGAATACAGCTTCCAAATCTTTATTTTTAAAAGAAACACCTTATTGCGATGTATCACAACTTCATTATAATCATTATAATCATATAATTCATAATAATTATGAAATTCTTCCTACAGCAGCAACAATGGTATACCAACAAACAAGTCCAGCCTGAAAATGATAAACTACTGACTAATACCAATCACCTCAAGAGAGCAAAAGAGCTATAGAAATATTAGGAATGGATGGCATAAAACCAGGTTTTACCAAGAAAATTATTTCATACTCAACACTGGTTTACAACCAATATTACTATTTGGTATTCAAACATACTATACTACTATATCATTCAAATACATTAAACTATTTAATATTCAACACTAACTACAGTATTAGCTCAGGAAATCCTCAATGGTCAAGTACACCGTGCTCCAAAAATATCAGACAACAGACAACTTAGAACAGGTAACAGGCATTAAAGCACTGACTGGATCAGTTTGTGGCTTTCAATGTGTATGAAGTTCTAGCTGATGTCCCATAAAGGACTTGTTGAAGACAGCTTTCCTTTTCTTACTAAGCTTCAAATAAACAGGTCACTCATTCTCAGAAGGTCTCAGCTCCTCTAAGCTTTTTCTCAAAGACAAAACTCCAGTAATTCACACTGCCTATTCTCCTTTCAACAGCTACAAAACCAACCAAACAGACAAAAATAAACCCCAAACAAGTGGGGAGAGTAGGAGAAATCAGTCCAAAAATACCACTTCCCCAGACAGTAAACCTGCCCAAGCTATCTAGAGGTGACTCCCCATAGGAGAGCACAGGTTCTGGAGCACAGTGGTGGGAGGTCGCCTGCACTAAACATAACAGCCATCTAGACATGGTCCTAGGCAACCCGTTCTAGGTGACCCTGCTTGAGGAGAAGTGTTAGACAAGAGAAATTCCAGAGGCCCCTTCCAACCTACACCATTCGGTGATTCTATAACAGACATTTCACAAACTCCAAGATCTACGTGAATGTTGAACAGATAGATCAGAACACATGGTGGTGACCAACAACAATGCAGAGAAATGCGCTTATCCTAATGTGCAGCTCAGAGTAACAAAGGACATGGTGCGTGCACATGTACTACACTGGCTAGTGGTGCACAGTGCCTGCCCCGCTGATAGCATAAAACGTCTTCAGTCCTGGACATATCCTCAGTGGGACCTAACATAAAAAGCATTCAAAGAACGAAGGTTGTACAGCTCTAACAGAAATTCACTGCTAGCAACTTAAATTCTGCCCATAAATGAAGTTAAGATTTGTATTATTGAAAAAATACAGTATCTTTTAAAAACTATGTTTAAATAGGAAAAAAGCTGAACGAACTTTTAAGCACTTACTTTTTTTAAGGTAGCTTTCAAGAGTAGATCAAATCTCTTATAAAAACTAGGTGAAGTTTGCAAACTCTTAAAGGGAGGCAATATTTTCACTAAATCTCCTGTCCCAGGATATATATATTTTTTAATAATATGTTAGAATATGCAAAAATCTGGCTACTATATTAATAGTCACAAACATAGGTATGTATTTTAGTATGTTCACATATTGGCAACCATACATGTTGCTTGAAAATATAGCATCTACACCCACACAATTTAGTATGTCAGGTGAAGCATGCTCAAATTTTAATAGTCAGAAATGTTTAAGTCTCCTACCACCCCCCAAGTTAAAGGAAATCTGTATTTCAAAATCCTATGCAAAATTATCAACTCTACAAGTTCTATTTACTGATTTACAGTTTAAAATGCCATAACAGTAGGACTCATTTATATGTTAAATGTCCCCCCAGCCAAGAGGTAGAAGGAATTCAGGAAATAAACTATAATGTTTTCAAAAAAAGAAACCTTCATAAATCAAGCATTTAAGACAGTATCACCCTCTTACTTCTACAGAACCTAGACAACAAAATACTCTCCAGGTTAGAATAGATTTTGGCTCAAAAGTTGGCGGTGACAGTATTACATCAGACTATGAAAACAAGAGGCATCAAATGAAGTTTGAAAGCAACAGAGTCATAAACTCTAGGAAGTCTGAGATTTTTAACAATTAAAATGGAAAGCTAATGTCTGCCCTGTTATGTGCTGCGTATGTATCAAGAGAATGTATTATGAGGCTGATCAGATAAGGAAAAGAGAGGTTTTCTAAAGAAAGAACCAAAAGAAACTATACTTATGGGAACAAAGAGGAAAAGAGTACTGTTAAGTGCACATTTCAAAACTGCAGCAGAGATGCTGGTGCAACTTCAGCAGCAGTAACCAGAGGTGGAGGGAAACAGCTAGAAAATAAAGCTGCAAAAATAAATTACTTCCAGGAATTACCACCAGAGCAACTTGACATTCAGGATGGCTCTATCCTCAAAAGTGTAGTTTCCCTATTTATATGGGCAGAGCACATAGATTACATGACAGGGCAAGGAACAGCCACTCCATCGGAACACAAAACAAATCCAGAAACACAGTGCTTCTTGGTTCCCTTGGACAGAATTCACTGCCAGAAATATATTAAACATTTTTTTCCAATACACACTACTTGCACAAATCACTACTTTGGTATTTCAACACAAGAAAGTTATTAAGAACACCTTGAAGGTTAACAGCTCTTCCTTAGAAAAATACACTTAACTTCAATTTTTACCTTTACCTTGTGAAACACGACACAATTAGAAGTTCGTTATTACTGAAGAATAATTTATAATTGCTAGTTAGACTCCCAGCTGCACCATTATGGAGTATGCACATTTAACTTCTTTGGGGTAAGTGGTGTTATTTACTAAGTCTGTAAAAACACTAGATAATGAAAAAGCATGTAGTTAGAACACAATAAATAAGAATAAGAGAGACATAAGCTTACCCCCTGTTAGGAAATAAAGCTATGCATCTGAAACTACACTACCTCTCAAGAGCTTACCTTCTTTTTGTCCCTCATTGACCCCTTCCCTCGGACCATTATCTTGCATCCTGTTTCTGCCTCAAGCTGTTTAGCTGTTAGTCCTCTGGGCCCAAGGATTCTTCCAACAAAATTAAACTGGGGGGAAAAAAAAAAACAACATTATTTCTATAAAAGCAAGTAAACAAAATTAATTTAACATTTAATAAGATGTATTTCTGTATCTAGAATATCATCAAGTGTTTTCGGAACACTACACTAAATACCAGAGGCTAAAGAATGAGGTTAACACTATTTTCATACATTAGATAACTATATGACCCCTACTTTGGGGCATACAGGTTTCAGGTGAAAAGAGGTTTTTCAGTTTAACATCCAGTATTCTAGGGCAGTGGTAGTCCTATCTTTAAGCCGTATGAGCTCTTACAGAAGCTACAAACCACCCTCCCTCACCACTAACATGACCAGACATGCTCATTAGTAGGCCAACAATGCGCATCACATCACAGAAACACACAGGTTCTAGCTGCGTGACCAGACATGCACACGACTTCCATGTGGTGGGACTGATGGGGTGCCAGATGTAGGTCCTGTCCCTTCAGGAAAGGCCCTGAGGCCCACTATTCATTTGCTCCATGCCAACAGCTAAGGAGCCTGCAGAAAACATTCTTTTTCATCCTTCCATGCTGTTCTGGTGGGCTCGATCTGGACAGCATGCTGCTGTCTAGCATCTACAGAAAATCTTCTTTATCTACCCGTGTCATAGCATTTCCTTCAGAAAAAAACAAACAAACAAACCAAAACTGAGGCTTGTTATGTATTCACTTTAGGTTTCATGGGCAACATTTCTGGAAAACATCGTATTTGCCAGAGATTTATACGTGTGTGTGTGTGTATAAACAGACCCATGACAAAAGCACATGTCGGTTTTTGTAAGTTGTATCCTTTACTCAGTTTTACATACACATACAGCAAGTATTTCATGTTTGGCTGGCTAACGTCAATATCAGCAGACTACCCCCTGCCTATGCTTAACACAGTAATACTGCCGTTTAGCCATACGTAACATTATTTCCTAGTTATTTTCCAGGTTTTTTTCCCCTTTCATTATTTTCAATCACATGTTCTGGAAATTATGACATAAATAAAAAAAAGCCTTAAGTGAAGGTAGCATTAAGAACATATAGCAGTACTCTGTAACAACTACAGAGCAAAGATGAATTACCAAGCTCAAATGACACATAAACCTACAAATTTCAGACTGAAGATTAAATTTAAAGATGATGCTAAGAACAGAAACTCGGCAGTAAGGACAGAAGTCTGGATATTTTAGATCCTGGTAAACAAAGCTATTCAATGGAATTATGAAGTTGTTGGCTTTTATTTCCTCAGCTAATTAAAACTGGTTTTGAGTACTACAACTCAACATATTTGAAATCCTTATAAAACTGCAAAGACCAGAAATGATTTAGGAGTGAGCAGAAATTATGAACATAAGCAAATTGAAGTTCTCCAACAAAAATAATTGTGTTTCACAATGGCTAAACTGTTCATAGGGAAGATACGCTCCCAAAATTATTTAGTATTCCAAGCTCAAAAGAAAAAATAAAAATATTATGAAGTCTAAATCAACTGTCGGGGGAAAAAATAAAGATTAAAGACAGTTGTGAATGCATACACAAACTGTGAATCATAGGAAATTAAGGAAGATTCACTAAGACCGAATAAAGAAATGAACAAGCTACAAGCAATGAAGCTCAGCCTTGAAATATTATCAAAATCCTGCATTTGTTACACATTTCATGCTCAACATCAAAATCATACCAGTATCTTACATAAAGAGCACCTTACTTGCCTTTCTCCATAACCACACTTCTTGCACACTAAATCTTTAGAAACCTATCCCATTCCACTGATAAAGCTAAAGTAATATTGCAAACCTGACTTTAAACGACTCTTCCCACCAACACTCAAGGTGACAATCATTACATTTTCTATCTCCCAAGAAAATGGCAGCCTCCAATATTTTTTTTAACTTGGATCACGACTAAAAGAATAATTAAATTCTAAGATAGGGTAATTTGGATAAAAAAATCTGAATAGAACAATTTAAGATACTAAGAAAAAAAGCAGGAATTTGTATTACTCTCAAGCTTGCAATTTGATTCACGTTGTTTGAACACGATTTAGAATTGTGGCTTCTAGTTGAGAAATTGCTGACAAACTGCAACACATTCTGTCAAATGTTAAGTCAGTTTCTTTTCCAGCTACTCCCAGAATATTCTCTTTATAAGGAGCCTTCATAAATTGTTCCAAAGTAGCTTAGCCCCACTTCTTCTTTCCAAACTGTATGCATTAGCACCTTGAACCTTTTTGGATGGGTATTTTTTTCTAAAACTCTGACCCTTCTTGTTACCTCTCTTGGGCCCTCCAATTTATTAATTTCTTAAAGCAGGATGCCTGGACAAGACAATTCTTCAACTCAGATCTCAACAAGGTTAAGTTACTCAGAACAATTATATCTTACAAGCTGCATTACTCTTAACACATCCCAGCTTCCTCCTTCCTTCCCCCAAAAATTCAGTTCTTATGTTTGGTTCAACATTTGTTGACCCCAGATGCTCTTCTCCATTACCTCTGCCTTGACAGTTTTCCCAAGTTTTGTATTCATATGCAACTTTTACTCCCCCCTACAAAAACATATGGTTCTAAATTTCTGTAATGAATTCCACATTGTGGACTTCAGGCACACTAATTTCAAGAGTTGTGAATTTTAATTCCATCTTTAAAAGCACTTGATATGACTTAATTGTTTTCTAAGCACACTTTCTATCCCACCAAGTTATTCTTGAATGTGGTAGAAATGCAAGCTGATGGAGAACTCTGCAGGGCCCTACCTGATGTGCAGTATTAATTGAGTCATCAGTAATCACTTTATATCATAGGTTAAGCCAATTACTGCCTTAACAAATGACTCCCAAGCTTTTGAACCAATGGATCACTTGTCAGTATTCAGTTCCCTCAGACTACCATCTCAAAGTCCTAGCTGAGAATCCCGTAGGAAAAAACAACTCTGCCTCTTGTGAATGGACTAGGTAGAGAGAGCAGTGACCAGCAGGCCACAACTCAAAAACACACTTTAGAGTGAGCCTTCTAGTTGTTGCACAGGCTCAAAAGTTTTATCAGAATCCAGTTGTATCAGAAGCTACTGCTTCTCTTACCTGCCAGGCCAGCTAGACTATCAAACAGAATTAGTGGAAACATAAATCCAACAAATTCAAAAGACCATTTTTTATCACATTTAACTCGAGATTTCTCATGCTTTTTGTCCCAT